AAGGATAATTTATTTTTAAGCTTTTAATATAAGCGAGAAGCTAGTCGATAGTAAACTAGGTCGAGCCTCCCTAAATATTAACGTTTCTGGCTATAGCGTTATTTTAATACTTTTAGTTTATCCGTAATAGAGTTAAAGTAAGTATATAACGTGTGACGAACCTTTATACAAAACCTCTAAAAAGGATACGGATTAAAAATAATTTCTAATAATTAATTCGGTGTAATTAAATAGTATATAATAAAATATCTCAATATAAACATAAAATACTATAAATACAAGCTTAAATTATATACTACGGAACTATTTATTTATATTAGCTAGTTCCTCCGTATATATAGTCCTTATGCTAAGCCGTGATTAGTCTCCTAAGGCCATTGATCACCTCGGCTTAGTCTACTTAGTGCCCTGATTACACTGATTACCTTTGCTTAGTTTGCTTAGTGCCCTAATTACACTGATTACTCTGCTTAGTCTGCTTAGTGCCCTAATCACACTAATTACTCTGCCTTTACTGTGATTGGCTCCCCTATACGTTCTCCCGATTAGCCCCTTATTTCCGTGGCCCCACAACCGTCTTGTACTAGGGTTATGACATTTTGCCCTTAAGGAAAGAAAAAGAATTATTTTACAGGAGAGAGGAGAGGTCTATATATAAGCCTTCGTAGGCCTACTGTGGGTCCTGTAGGCCCTGGAAGCCCCTATACTACTTTGAGGTATTTGGTAGGCTTAGGTGGGTCTAGTGTAGACTCACGGAAATCTATAGAACCTTCGGTAGCAGAGGTGCCCTGTAAATCACACTATTGTAGCAACTTACTACGTAAGCCTGTAGCTACTTTGGAAGGTTCTAGTATCCATTGACTAAGCCTTAGGCTACAGTAGCCCTGTAAGCCTTTAAGGGTCTCTTGTAAAGAATATTCTAAAGGGATCCAAGCCGGGAAGTTCCATTACTGCTTATAGCAGTACTGCCCACTGTAATATCAATCTGTAGGGCAATAAGTAGGGCACTTAGTAGTACCCACACATTAATATATCTATTTACGGTTATCAAGTTAAACTAATTTTACTTTATTAAAGTCGTCCGAAGTTATAACTATTATACCTATAAAAATAATATTTATTATAAACTTAATTCCGTTAAAATTATAAATATTATTATTTATAATACTATATTTAACTTTAATATTCTATATAAACATAAATCACTTAGTAATAACCTTTAAATCCTTACACTTAGTTTTCTAATAATCGTATTTATATATATAATATATACTGAATTATAGCTAGCGTTTAATAAAGTTATATACCTAAAGCTTACTAATAGAAGGCGCGTTACGTACGTATAATAGTTAATTAACTATATCTCTTATACTACGTAATTTTAGTGGAAAAACTTACGTATATAGCTTAATAACGTATTAAATAATAGCCTCCTCTTCGGATTAAGTAAGCTTCTTTAATTTAGGCGTAGTATCGCGTCGTGCAGGCCGGCTAGCGCGCCGACGCCCTAGAGTCTTACGATCGACTCTATAGATCTTAACTGCGGCTTGTTCGCTTAGATTCTTGTTGTTTTAAAGTACTTGGAGGGCTAAAATTATATGGGCTTCATTTGAATTAGAAGGCATCTTGGATGGTTAAGGAAATTATTGTTGAGTGCGAAGGTGTTATGTTACGAAGGAAGTGGGTCACTCGCTTATATGGGTCACTCGCTTATATGGGTCACTCGCTTATAATATACGTTATCACGGAAAGAAAGTGTAGTACATTTTATTATATTTAAGTCGACAGCATCCCATAGCTCACTACCGCGTCCATCTTTGCGAAGCTTCCGCTGCCACTGCTTACTGCTTCTAGATTTCATAACCCAAGTGCGCCTTCAAAACCTCTTTTTCGTATCCCAACAACTCGATCCTTATATTCTGTTCTTCTTCCACGACTGCGGCGCTTCAACCATCAGGACGTCATCAGCCCTTCCTGATAGCCAGATTCTTTCACGCAAGACACTCCATATCTTCTGGTCTTGCCCGTCATCATTCTCCACGCATTCTATCATCAAAAATCCATCTGATTGGCCCACTGGAATTATACCCCTGACCGAAGTCGTACTGGGGTCTTCCCCCTCGTCTTGAAAGACGTGCCCAAGATTCTGACAAGCCTCGCGTAGAGAGATTCCGCTTATCACGGCATTGCCCAGCGATGGCAGTGACGGGTATGTTGCTGAGATCCACCCCATCAATGTAGCCTGCACGTTGGAGGTCTCACCCCATCTCAGTTTGATAAGGCGTTCGATTTGAAGAACGGACAATGCAGTCTGAAGTCTCGAAAACTGGATGTTCTCTTGTGCCACACACTGCAGAGCAAGGTTCTTGATGATTTTCATGACGACCCAAATCTTGGCAGACACAGCTCTGTCAAGCCGTTCCGTCAAACTCTGCGAGCAAGAAATGGCAAAGGCTGGAGGCTGAGAGACTTGCTGTGCAAGAAACTCCATAGATGGATAAAGGAAGAGCATCATCGTTTTCGAAATTGGGAGCGTCATTGGCAACTCCTGGCTTTCCCAGTTCCTGTTCTGTTGGCCAAGCAGGCTGGATGGACCAATAGCCGTCAGCCAAAAGGCCATCCGTCGCGCGGAGCTGTGAGCAATAGTCTTTCTCGCCCAGAATATTCAACCATTGTCTTCCCGAAACATCGATCTCTGTCAGAAACGTACAAAGCTCTTTAGCCAAAAAGCATAGCGTGAGATCCTTTGACTCCGAGACTCGTTCGAGCTCGGCTTTGATCTTCTAGATAGTGTCGTTTGCTTGCTTGATGTCGTTGTCCTTTTCGTGGGTCAGGACTGCTATCTGTCGTTCTTGGCTAGCTATGGTACCCTCTGCCGCTGTCAATTGCTGATCTTTGGTACTCGACTCTTGTTGGAACTGCTTCTCCATGCTTGTGATTTTGTCGTTCATCCGTCCCAACTCTTGTTGATGATCGTCCTTGACCTTTGCGAGTTCAGCTGTTAGGGTAGTAACGGTGGTGCCGACAACAGCCAGCTCTTCGACCTTGGTGGTCAGTTCGTGCTTGATAATCCCGATCTCTTGTTTCTTATTGTTCAAATCCTGGGATTTCTTTTCGATTTCGTTGACCTTTGGGGCGAGCTCTTCATCTTTCGCCACGAGTGCATTCTTCCGTATACCCAAACTCGATGCAAATATCTTCGTACCTTACATCAGTCTCTTCCTTCATCTCAAAAAGTCGATTTTGCGTTGAATTGAGCTCATCTCTCTTCGCCACAAGTTCATTTCGCAACACTACTAGCTCCTCCAACTTTGTCCCAAGCTCTCTGTCTTTCTCGAAGAGCTGGTATTTCAGACGCTGGAGCTCATTGCTCAGCTGCTTAGAATAAAGAGTTGAATGTTTTCTGCCCAGCCAAAGAGATTATGCAAATTGGGCGCAGGGGGCAGCTTGCTCCTTCCTTTACAGCAAGGGAAGGCACCTTAGGAAGGCACGCGTGGTCTGGTGCTAGTGTACCGAAAGCTAGAGGCCTCAAAAGATTTCAGTCCCCCGCCGTTAAGGCAGCCGTCCGGTGAGAAAGGAGGAACCCACCCACCTTCAGTACTTTGCATATTCGAGCCCTTTTGGGATCTGCTGTCTCGGACAGGTAGGAGAACCATTACCTTGGTAAAGCTGGCTTCTTAACTGACTGGCATCATGGATCATGTACTTCAGCGTGGTCTCTGACACTCGACGGGTCTTACATGCTCTCGATGATTCAGGGCCTTAGCCCTGTCCCAAATTAACCATGCGAGAGCATTGCACCAACTTCTGCCGACTTTATTTCCTCAAGGATTGCGACACAAGTGACAGCCACGTACCTCATGGATGAGAGCGGGCTAAATCGACCCCTGTCGACCTTTGAGAACAGTTCGTGGCTAACATCCTACCATCATCGCCGCTGCGCATTCAGTCACTACCCCTTCTAGGTTGAGATATCTTAGGCTTTCATCCCGGGCAGTAAATCCAGGAAGCTTAGGATTCATTCACGTTCTTCAGCAGGTCGTCTGTGCGCCCGAGATGTGGTGGTGGTGCGAGTGTCAGTGCCCTCGCACAGAACGTTACCTCACTCAGGAGTAATCTTTGACATTGACGTCACCTCTAGACGACTTTTCAATGTCCCCAACTGTGATCATTCACTGTCAGCTAATCTGATACACTCTGACTCGTGGTTTGAGGGCATCTGACTATACCCCACTACTGAGTACATTCCTGACCACGTCCGTCATTCAAGTATAGGCT